TGTTTTTGTCATGTGATCAGCTTGTGTGGGTTTGTTTTGCTTTGGAGTGATTGGGAATCCGTGTGATCCCTCCTCGATGGTTTATGCCTCGTTGATTTCCAAGGAAATCATACGAGTGTGTTTTTGCCCAATACGCTATTTAAAGTGAGTGTGCAGTGTGTAGGAACTTCGTTCTGAAGCTGAGTTTAAGCTCACAAGAGAGAATTCGTTTAGTTTGTGCACTTCGTGACTTTTGGCTCAAGTGGCTCTGACTGTGAAAAAGAGAGAGTTGTCCGCACTTGTGTGAGAGGTCAGGGTTCGTGCTTTCAAGGGAAAAGGTACCAGAGGGACCTTCGGTTTTTCACGTGGTAGCGGAGCTTGTGCCTTGTGGACGAGCCGTGTATGGTCTTTGGTTGTCTGTCAGGACTCTGTGAGTGCCTGGAGGCAAGTTTGGGTTTGGAGCCCAGACTGCCAGTGGACCGGAATCTCTTGTACTCGGACCGTGTAAGTGAGTACCGGGAAGCCTATCCTGTGAGGAGGCGGATCCGGACTCATCAGGCTTGGAAGCAGTTGGTTCAGCGGCTGTTGAGGCACTTTGGAGCCCGGGCAAGGTGGTTTGTCTGGAACTGGATTGGTTGTGACCGATCTTGGAGGAATACGGTGCTTGGTAGAGTAGAACTAAGGTTCTTCAGGAGCCTGGACCATCTGGTGTTGGTGAGAGAATTTTCGCCAGAAGACGTTGTGGAGAGACTGCAGGCTGGAGCCTGAGTTCAGGAACTATGTTGAATACATCCCCACGACATACCAGTGGAGCTCATGTGAGGAGTCCAAGAGGTGGACGAGAGCGTGGAAGCTCTGTGCCCATCATGGATGCTGAGACAAGGCGAAGGGTAGACCCTTTTCCGGGTTTGGGAAATCCCAACCCACTGTGGGTGCAAGGTTTGGCACAAGGAAGCCAACCTGTGTATGGCCCAGTGCCCAGAGGTCGAACTCCCGCCAGAAGCCCTCATGGGGTAGCTACTGGAGCACCCCAACAGACAATGGGAGGCCCTTCGTTTCCCCCTGGTTTGCCTCAGCAAGCGGTAGGAAGTCCTTCGTTACCACCAGGACTATCCACTGGACCTCCTCAACCTGTGGTGACACCATCACAAACATCACCCGACGTGCAAGGGTTGACGAGACAAGTGCGAGAATTGGAAAGCATGATGCAGCAACTGGTTGTGCAGCAACAGCAGTTTATGCAAACGATGACTTCGTCCATGGTGCAGCAACAGCAGCAGCATCAGCAGTGGATGATACAGCAGCATCAGCAACAGCAGCCACAGCAACAGCAACAGGTGAATCCCCCCTTACCTCAGGATGGTGTTCCTGAGAACATGCCCAGTTCTTCTTCGGGATGTCAAGGTGCATCGCCAGTGGGTACTCCTGCGAAGGGGACCCAGCTTTTTCGGATGGCGAGCCCAAGTCCCCCACTGAGACCTCCACCTCTGGAGCAAGAAAGGGAAAGGGATGTGTTTGCTCGATCGGACAAATGGTTGCCCAGTTTGCCGACCATTGACTTTTCGTCTTGGAAGGATCGCATCTCTGAAGCTCTTGGATTCTTGACCTGGATGGAGAAGCTGACCAGTTGGGTTGGTTTGGGTTCAGAAGTGTTTCCCAATGAGCTCATGCATGCGGTGAAGACTCAAGAAGAGTCTCGGCTGAAACAGGATCGACTTACTGTGGAGCAACAGAAGAGGTCGACGAGGCTGATGCACATCCTGCGACAGACTTTTGCAAATCATGAGAAGAGTTCTCTGATTTTGCAGACATATGTTGAAAGTGAGAGCACTTATCAACAATCTGGTTTTGTGGCTTTGAGATTGCTGGCGAAGGAGTTTTGCCTGAAGTCGCGAGCTGAATGCCTGTTCTTTCGGTCGCAGCTGGTGAATCAAACCGTGAAAGCACCCAGTATTCCGGAGATCATTCGAAAGATTGAGCATGAGTTGAACAAGTACACCAAGCTGCTCAATAGTCTTGATCCCGATGTGCATGCTGGTGGTTTGCAGATCCAAGAAGCGGATTCGGTTATGGTTTTGCTGCGCAGTTTGCCAGATCGGTGTAGAAGCCATTGCTTGTTGCATGGCGATAGTGAATCGTTTGAAGATCTGAAAAGAGTTGCTCTGAAGTTTGAGGTGCAACAAAGGGTGTGGTCAGAAGCCCCTGGCACGAAGCTTCAACCTTTTCGAGATCCCAATGAGGGAAAGGGCAACGAAGGAAAACCAAAAGGCAAAGGAAAGGAACAGAAAGGCAAGCGCGAATCAAGCAAAGGTGCTGGCAAACGAGCTTCAAGCCAGAACAAGAAGGATGTGGAGTGCTATGTGTGTGGTGGAAAGGGACATTATGCCCGCGATTGCTGGTATAAGGAGGGAGATTCAGGCAAGAAGCCCAATTCCCCCAATGCTAAGGCGAAAGCCAAGGCAAAAGGAGATCCCAAGAAGAAGCCCGAAAAGGGAAAGCCCAAAGGAAAAGGCAAAGGAAAGGGGAAGACAGTTGCTGAAGTCTCCCAAGAGGGTGAGTCGAGTGACTACCAGCTAACTGGAGGTGAATGGAATGAACCTGAGTCAGAGGCCCGAGTGGAATCTGTGTTGCAACCTCTGGAAGGATTGCTCGATGAAGTGAGAAAAGAGTGGATTCCCCGGAGTACTGATGAGATAGATTGGTCATGGGAAGTTGAGACGAGAGTCCGGATTGCCGAGTTGGAGCATCGGATCTCTACCGATTTATCTCAGATGTTGCCATCTAAGTCAGTTCGGTCTTTGATGAAACCTCCGATGAATCAAGTCAAAAGCATGGAAAAGGATGATGCAAGCAAATGGTGGTTGATTGACTCAGGAGCATCGGTGACTGTGATTGCGAAAAGATACTTGGATGAGTTCCAGATCTTGGATCGGAAGGCGTTGGGACCTAATGAGAGGTACTCAGCAGCCAACGATACCCCGGTGAATGTCTTCGAGCGAGTTCGCATCCGAGCCTTGCTGCCTATGTATGAAGGAAAGCAGTATCTTGGTTTGACATCGGTGTGTGTGACTGGAGTTGTAGCAGATGTGGCTCACAACATCTTGAGCACCGAGCAGATGGTGAATACTGGTTGGGAAGTGAAGTTCACTCGAAGAGAGATTTCGCTGCGACACGAGAAGAAAGGAGTCATGGGATATGGAGTATCCTGGGCTGGATGTCCTTGGATCTACCTGCAAGGTGATGCTGGAAAGCGAAAGAAAGTAACCTTTGGAAGAACTGAGGTTCGACCCATGGATGTGGATGATGGCCAACGACCGATGGAGGTTGATCAGATGCAGTCAGTGCAGTCAATGACCAAGAAAAAGCAAGAAGAAATGGAGCTGCATCGGATGCGAGGCCACATTCCTTTTTCGTCCGAATGTCCTCATTGTCGGATGACAAGAGGAACAACCCAGCATCGTCGGACCAAGGATGCTCAAGACCGACCCGTGGCGTTGCAAGCAGATTTCTGCTTCATCAACCTGGTAACTGGTACTTTTGCGAAAGACCAGCCGACGGCTCCCAACATGAAAGTACTGGTCATGACTGAAATGTCAACCAGAATGATTGGATGTCTGTTGGTAGGGACCAATGCTGACAATACCTCCAGCTGGATTCGTTATTGGATGAATGCTTTCGGACTGGACATTGCAGGGTCTGCTGTACTGTTGAGGACAGACAGCGAGACAGCGGTGAGCGCCCTCATCAAGAGAGCCAATCTGGGGATTAGGATTGTGACCCAAAGAGCACCTCCGCAGGGACATGAAGCGGTTGGTGGTGTGGAAAGGGCAGTGAGAACACTCAAGGAGTTGTTCAGCACGGTGAGGTTGGATCTACGAGCGCAGGGCTTTGACTTGAAAAGAAGTCCTCGAGCGTTTGAGTTTGGTCTGATTTACTGTGCTGCAATGCACAATCACCATGCAGCTGCCTTTGATGGGAAGAAATCACCCCAGGAGTTGGTACTACAGAGATCCCTCCATGAGTGTGGATCGTCGTTGATAGGTGCTACAGTTCTGGCTGAGCTACCGGATTCGATGAAAACCACGGCGCTCTCCCGGTTTGTGGAAGCAGCCTATGTGTACCCTGAAGTTGGTGGCTTGACTCATGTTGTGAGTGCCATGGTGGATGGTTGTCCAAAACACTTTCGAGCAAAGTCCATCAAGCACATCGTTCCGTTGAAGATTGGGTTGGAGCATTGTCAACATTTGCTCAAGGAGCATGATCCATCGGATACATTGGCTCCCCCGATTCTGAAGGAGAAAGAGGATGGTGTGCCCGATCGGATTGAAGGTGAAGCGGACAAGGCCTTTGAGGGCCGAGTGTCTGAGGGACCGACCACCGACATGAGCAAAGTTGGACCTCCAGCTGCATGGGTGAAGGAACATGGTGGCACAGCGAACTGTCCTGCGTGTGGTCCAAAAAGAGGAAAAGCCAACCACAATGCTGAATGCCGAAAACGGTATGATGATTGGTTGAAAGCTCAACGACAACGGTTGGAATCGAAAGAACCAACAGAGGAAACTCCAAAAATGGACCAGAGAAGCTCAAAGGATGCGGGGGTGATGGAGTCTGGAAGTGAGCCTTCACTCCTGAAACGCCCGAAGATCACCTATGAGAGTCGACCAGATCCCAAGTTGGAGGAGAAGCAAAGCGTCCCAACACCTGCGACAGAAGTTGTGGATGTTGACATGGAGGATTTTGAGGATCCAAGTTTGCCTTACCAAGGGATTCCAGATGAGGCAATGGAACCTGGATACTTCGAAGGAGAAACTCCCGCTGAGGATGAAGCGATCCCAATGGAGGAAGAAAAACCTCAAATGGATGTGGATTCAGTTCCAAATGAGTCCAGTCGAGTTCCCCGGCGTTTAGAGAGTTTAACTTCAGATGTGAACTCAGTTCCAGATGAGTCCAATCGAGTTCCCCGGCTGATCAATCGTATTTATTTAGACCCAAGACTCGATGTGCCTCAAGGTCCTATTAAAATGGTAAGCAGTGACGAGAGTCCGAAGTTGGTACATGTGACCAATTCGATTCTGCTCAACAAGAATAGCACTTTCCCGGAGTCCATGAAGGTGTGTGGATCCCAAGTTTGGCTGGCAAGACCCACGAGTGTTCTGTCTGAGATAGATGGATGTCCATTAGATGTGGATAAAACAGTGGAAGGCCGGCGAACTGAGCTGCAGAGTATGACTGCTCACAAAGCAGGGAGAGTGGTTGGAGCAGACGAGGCTCAGAAGTTTGCTCGTCAGCATGGGATAAAGATCATCCCAACCCGATGGGTCATAGGCCCAAAGGTGGTGAATGGCAAGGAAGCTGTGAGAGCTCGGTGTGTGGTGCAAGACATCGCAAAGGGGAGCACAGCATCATCTTTAGGACTGAGTGCTACGACTCCTTCTTTAGAAGCGTTACGGACGCTTTTGGCCATTGCTTCGGTAGATGCTATGGATATCGCAACTTTGGATGTTAGCACTGCATTCTTGCATTCCCCCCTTCCGAAAGGATCGAAGGCGATTATCCAATTGCCCAAGGATGTTTCCGCCTGCAAGGACTATTATGTCCCGGTGTTTATGATTCTGGATCAAGCCATGAATGGTTTGAGAGTTGCCGCCAAAGCTTGGAACTTGAAGCTGGCGACAGTTGTGAAGAAAGTTGGGTTGAAGCAATGCCCAACGGAACCTTCCGTCTTCGAGGGCACTGTGAGAGGGAAAAGATTCCTCATGTTGTGCTATGTGGACGATTTGATTCTGTGTGGCACTAGAGATGCCATTCGGTTGGTGACCGACACCCTGAACGGAGAGTTGAAGATCAAGGAAACGGGTCGAATCACTTCCACTGGTGGAAAGATCACCTTTTTGGGGCGAGAGATTGAGAGACAAGGGAGTCATCTCAGGATGCGAGTGCCCCCGGCATACTTAGATGCCCTGTTCGAGACAGAGTTCTGTAAGGACCTGAAGGTGGTTACTGCTCCTCCGGACATCGTGAAAACGGTCGAGAAGGGCAGAGCAAGTGGTTCGGATCCTGAGTTGAGTGACACTGCAGCTGCGAGGTACAGAGCAGTACTTGGCCGGATTGCATGGTGGGGTCAGTCGAGACCTGACCTGAGTAGGTGGATGTCCATTCTTTCGCAAGGACAGTCCAAGCCAACAGCATGCTTTGAGCAAGCATTGCGACAAGTGATTAGGTTCCTAAAGGGACAATACCATGCATGGCAGTACTTTGGCCCTGATGGGAATGTACCGGACAGTGGGCCGGCGCAGCTGGAAGTGTATGCGGATGCCAGTTGGGCACCCCAAGCGTCGTTAGGACGAAGATCTGTGTCGGGCATAGCCATCTTTTATAGAGGATGCCTGATCAAGGGAATCTCTCGAGTTCAAGGGTGTGTATCGCTGAGTTCTTGTGAAGCTGAGTTGAGAGCCATCTTGACTGCGGTACAGGAGAGTGAGGGACTTGCGACTTTGATCGGTCAGTTGGCCGAGTCAGATGTCACGATCCGATTGCACACTGACAGTTCCTCAGCGAGAGCGGTTTTGCTAAACCGTGGGTTGAGTAGGCGAGTTCGCCACTTAGACATCGCTGTCTGCTATCTTCAGGAGCGGATACAGGAAGCTCAGACCTTGAAGGTCATTTGGTGCCCGACAGCGGGAATGATCGCTGACGTTCTTACAAAGTGCTTGAGTCAAGTGACATTCTGTCAGCACCAGCAAGCTATGGGTATATACCCTGGTGAAGATGTGCAGCAGGTGTGGAGGATCTGTGGAATCCGACCAAGGGTTGGAGTTCAGGCATGCCAGTGTGCCGAGGCAACTGGATGCAGTGTGGAGCAAGTTGGATCGTTGAAAAGTGTGAAAAAGTGTGGCGAAGTTTTTGAAAATTTCCACCTTAGAAGTCCCGAAACCCTTCGTGAAGACTCTTCCCCTGAGGTTCAAGAAATGGATTTATGGTCCAACCGCAAAAGCTTTGGTTCAAGCACCACGGAAGCTAGCCCTAGCCTGGAGCCTGTACCTTTGGTGAAGGACAGGAAAATGGCAGCTGAAGACAGCAGGAAGGGTGAGCAGGGTGCTGAGATGAAAAGCCCCTTTTGGTGTAAGGTTTGCAAATGGTTGTTCAGATCCGAGCATGCTGCCGGGTTGAGCTGGGATGAAAGTGGCAAGCCCAAGTGCGAAAAGTGCAAACAGACTGTGACAGTCTCTGGCACGGATGCAAGCCATGCATTCCATCTCCGAGAGGCAGAGAAGGAGCGCCGAGCTGCTGGAAAAAGGGGTGATAAAGGTGAAAGCCGAGGCTCAGGCCAAGCTGCACCGAAACCCAAGGCCATGCCGAAGGTGATTGAACGGATGGTCGACGTGTTTCCGGAGCTGGCGGATCCAGAGCCGCCGAAGTGGTTCGGTGATGTGTCATGGAGTATCTGCCGGCGCGGAACTCCAGTGGATGAGCTAGAGCTCAAGGACGTGGTAGGCACGCTATCCGACAAGGATATGTTGCGCTATCAAAGCTCATACGAGAAGCTGGTGAAGCCCATCCAGGAGGTGTGTGAGCTACAGGAGAAACCCACGAAGATCTTCGGAATCTTGGATGTCCGTGGACAGATTGGTGGCAAGGCCATCATCTGGGAGATGGCAGTGAATGAAGGAGGACTGTACATGGAAGTACCGCCGGGAACGTGTGGCCTGGCGATGTTGAGCTTCGTGAGGTACTTGAAGAGAAAAGGGATAGTCCCTGTTTTGCTTCTGGGTGAGCACCAGGACCTCGGAGTCTTGCGGATGGTGGATCTGTTGTGCATGCTACCCATTTTGGGAGCAGAGAGGATCATGGAGGATGAAGCTGAGAGCTCGTATTATCCCCCATGGGTGTTGCGCTGGAAGAGAAGTGCAAAGGAAGGATCCTTGGTGTTTAAGGAACTGGTGGAGCGAGTGCGAGTGATTTCGATGTTGTCGTGTGATACACTTCGGATTCACGAGCCGGAGCTGAGGGAGAGACCAGTCCCCAAGTGGTCGTTTGTGGCCTACAGCCACTACAGATCCGTGATGGAGTCTGTTGCAGGATTCTTGGAGGACCTGGAGAAAAAGAAAGAGGAGATCACCGACACGCAGAGGGCGGCAAGCTGGAAGAAGGTGGTTGCGAGTGAGACTCGAAGCGGTGTTGTGTGGATCTGCAAGTGTAAGTGGCACTTGCCGACCGACTATGTGGTGAGGTTCAACTTGACGTTGCCTGCCGACATGTGGCAGCAAGCCTTTGGGATCATGGGTGAGAATGTTGGGAAACTCGAGAAGGAGGAAAAGGACCTGAAGCGGATCCTCAAGGCTGCAGCGGAACAGCAAGACCGAGAGTTCGAGGAAGCTGAGCGAAAGCGCAAGCGCATCGCCGACCTGTCAGCTGCCGAGGAAGAAGCTGCTAAGAGAGCAAAGCTGGAAGGCGAAGCGGTTCGCTCGCCTGTGTCAGTTGTACCATCTGAGTTGGATGCAGCAGCTATCGCGCAGATTGCTGAGCGTGTGAAGGCAAGCTTTAGTGTTGCCGATTTGGAGCTGATGTTGGAAGAGAAGAAGAGAAAGGTTGGAGACCAGCCAACTGAGAGGCCTGCGGAGACGCCAGCTGAGCCTAGCCGATCTTCGCAGGATGTGATGATGGAAACGAGGACGGCTGAGTTGGCGGAGATGAAGGAAGCCGCCAAGGAGCGCCGCGCCAAGTTGATGGAGTCAACTGGAGCTGGCGAGAAGAAGGGCGAAGAGGATGAAGAATGAACTGAGATGCTAAGTGATCTCAGTGGTTGGGTGGGTGAGTGAAACCCGCAGCCATTTTTTTGGAAGCCATGGCCGCGTTGCCGCCATGGAGCGCCCGCGATTTTTCTGGTTAGTGTGAGCCCTTGTTTCAGTGCATGAGAAGTTTGCAAAGAGGAGGCAAAATGATGATGAAACTCAACGAGGGACTCTATAGCCCCTTCTGCAAGGCGTCTGATTGCCACCTCTGAAGACGTTTTTGGCTGATGGTACGCTGGAAGAAGCGAAACTATGAAGCCAATCTTTTCCTGAAGGATCAGCTAGCCGATGCTAGTTGGTGAGTTTGGTGACCTGGAAGATGCGAGACTGAGAAGGAGTACCACGACAAGGTCGAGTGCTGAGTGGGAAACATCTGAAGCTTGCATTAATTCGTTTTCACGTGTTTGTCACCACGAACTCTTGGATTCGTTCCAAGACAACCCTGCCCCAGTGCAGGTGGATGCAAGTTTAATTCGTTTTTCACGTGTTTGGACAACGAACTCTTGGGTTACCAGTGATGTGGACCCAGGACAACCTGCCTGATGGTGGGATCTTGCATGAGTTTTAAGTTTGATGTCAGAGATCGACTGGTGTGTTGTTTGTTTCGTTTGGTGGCGAGTACGCACCAAGGGAATGTGGCCAGGGCATCCCCTTAGTGTTGAAGTGCCGAGCTGGGCTTGGACTTCAGATCTTTGACATGAACCCTCAGCAAAATGCGGGGGGTGGAAGATTGTGGCTGATCAGTGATGTTTTTGTCATGTTTTGGATCAGCTTGTATAGGTTTGTTTTGCTTCGGAGTGATTGGGAATCCGTGTGATCCCATCCTCGATGGTTTATGCCTCGTTGATTTCCAAGGAAATCATACGAGTGTGTTTTTGCCCAATACGCTATTTAAAGTGAGTGTGCAGTGTGTAGGAACTTCGTTCTGAAGCTGAGTTTAAGCTCACAAGAGAGAATTCGTTTAGTTTGTGCACTTCGTGACTTTTGGCTCAAGTGGCTCTGACTGTGAAAAAGAGAGAGTTGTCCGCACTTGTGTGAGAGGTCAGGGTTCGTGCTTTCAAGGGAAAAGGTACCAGAGGGACCTTCGGTTTTTCACGGTGGAGGAAAAATGACTTATGACTTCCACAAAATACATTCTGTTTTTTTTGAACGCCAAGTGATTGAGTCATGACTCATGTCCACGGCCGTTGCGGTCTGCAATTGGGTTGTCGTAGCCCATCTTGTCAAAGCCAAGACTTCAAACTCAGCCCATTTTTTTTCCTGCTGCTTGACTTGACGTGCGTTTTTCCTGTTTGCACCTGCAAAGGCTGAACAAAGCTACCAGCAAAGAAACATGACCTCAAAAAAACTTTGACTGTGTTTTTCAGCTGTCTGGCTTGACACATGCAAGGCAAGACCAAACTTGAGCAAATTGAAGATGCCCTGTAATTTCCAACATGAAAAACATTTAAACCAGAAATGTTTTCAAAGTTGCCTTGGATCAAAGCAGATTGTTTTCAAATTTCCAAAAATGGAAAAAAATTAAAACAGGAAACACTGGTTTTTAAAGCATTTCAAAGTCTGCAGTGTGAATACTGATTTTGGTTTGGAAACAAAATCGCTTGAGCACAATTTAAAATATCAATTGATGTTTTTTTTCAACTTTTCCTTGTTTGAGAAACATTGTTGACGAAATGATCTGAAAACAAAATGAGCCTTACTAACTTTTGCAACTAACCCCAACCGGCCTGGTTTGGATCAAATTTTAAATTTTGAAAATTTTCAAAAAACATTGTAAGAAACGCGGCGTCCAAAAAATCTAGAATGCATTCTGTGGAATTGTTGGTTTAAAAACAAATTGTTTTGGAATTCCTACATGCTATCTTGCCGGTAAAATTAAAGAATTTTATCACCAATGGAGCCGAAACTTCGTTTGCTTGGTGGTTGGTTTTCTTGTGTTCGGTTTTTGACGAACAGAAGCGGCACACACTCAGTTTCGAAAAGAATCTTGCAGGAGTTTTGTTGTTGAGTTGCAATTGCATGTTTGGATGCATGTCGAAGACATGTGGAGAGCATGTTTTGTGAATATGAGTGTTTTGGAGCATACTTGAGTTTTACCTTGAGCTTTGTGAATTTTGAGCTTGGTCGAGAAGTTCCTCAGTGATGAGAGCAAGGTGTGAAGCACCTTGGACCTTTGAGTGTGTCCTGAGATGCACTTGGTATGTAGAAGACTCTGAGGGGAACGTTTGCATGACCTTGCTTTTGTTTTGGCTGTGAAGTAGGACTCACGCACAGTTTCTTGCCAGCAGCATGAGCTCAGAAGAACTGGACTTGTTTGGCTCAAGGCGAGAGTGAGAAAAGAAAGTGTCCGAGTGCCAGCTTTGCTTGCTTAGTTGAAGCTTGGGTAGCTTTGACTGGAACCAACGTTTTGAAGAACCTTTGGAAGCTCTTGAACGGTGTCAAGACTTTTCGTGGTGGCGGAGCGTGGTTGGCCACGCTCAAGAGCTGTGAAGGTGAATGTCTGACATTTCCAGCTTGCACTCCCGAGAGAGAAGAAGGAGTCCACGAGGAAGAAACCGAGTTCCTGGTGAGACGCCCACACATTCTGGAAGAAGCCCGAGTTTGGTGAGTGTTCGAGGCGAGGGACGTGCTCAGTCCAGCTCACCTCTCAAGGAGACCGCGGCAAGTGGTGACGCCTCTTGTGTTACCTCTTCCGACTCGACAGGCAAGTGGTTACACTGGAGGAAGCGTTGGACAACCTCCACAAGCTCCAGCAGGAGCCCAAGTGAATCCAGGAATGCCTCCGCAACCACCTGCTCTGGACCCACAAATGGCGGTGCAGATGGTGCAGGCACAGTCGCAGCAGATTAGCCAGTTGGTTGGTTTGGTGCAGACGTTGGGAGAGATGCAAGCAGCGGCTTTGACACGAGCTGCTGAGACAAGCAGCGGAATGGCAGCAGCAGCGTCCTCAACGGGCCCAGAGCCTATGGAAGTGGACAAGGACACTGGTGGAGTCAGACACTCCAAAGCAGAGAGCTACATTCCCAAGATCCCTATGCTTGAGTACCAGAAGATGACGACTCGAACTTCGGAGATCAGTTTTTGGTCGCAGTACGTTGAGGGAGTCATGTCTTGGTTGTCTTTGCTTGACGACTTTTACCCCACTGAGTTGTACCGAGCGATGATCACCCCCACCGAGATTCAACAGAGCAGTTTGGAGAAGGGACCAGCGGCGAGGTCTGCGAGATTTCTTCACTTGCTGCGTCAGTCTTTGGGTGATTTCCAACGAGCTTTAGACATCGTTCGACAAGCGGAACAGTCACAGCTTGGAGCAGCATGTGGGTACGAAGCCTTTCGGAGACTGAACACGGAGTTTGGAGTTCAGTCGAGAATTGAAGCAACATCTCTTCGTGAAGCTGTTTTGCAATTTCGCCCAGGGAAGCATGTGGTGCGGCCCTTGGACGTCTACAGAGCAGTAGAATCCGAGCTCTTGAAGGCGGATAGAAATCTTAGTGGCTACAGCAGTCTTCGTTTGACAGAGCCTGAGAAGATGATGCTTCACTTGAAGTGCATGCCCGAGTCCTGCAAGCATTACGTTTTGTTGCATGGAAAGAGCGACACGCTGAATGAGATCCTGGAGAGCATCAAGTTTTACGACTCTCATCTGCGTGTGATCGAGCATGACAAGGAAGGCCACAAGCATTCGTCGAAGAGCGCTTGGACTGAAGAGTTGATTGCAGCTTTCAACAAGGGCAAAGGCAAGAAGGGCAAAGGGAAAGGGAAGAAAGGCGGCAAGAACGAGGGCACTTCAGAGAAGGGTGCTGGTCGAGGCAAAGGAAAAAGAGACGACAAGCCGAAAGCCCAGAGCGAGGGAAAGAAGGGAAAATGCTTCAACTGCGGGCAGCCGGGGCACTTTGCTCGAGATTGCCCAGAACCACGGAAAGACAAGCCTTCGGGTGCATCTGGCCAGCCGAAAGCAAAGGGGGCGCCGAAGCCAAGTGTGACGATGGGCTTGGTGGAAGTGCTACCTGAACGACCAGTTTTGCAATTTCCGCGTGACGTTTTTCCCGAAGAGCATGGTTTTCCTGAAGAGCATGGTTTTCCCGAAGGGCATGGTTTTCCTGAAGAACATGGTTGTCTCCAGCATGGCGAAGAAGTTTTTCTTGAACAGCATGATTGTCTTGATGTTTTGCATGGGCTTGAACGACACGAAGAACACGGGGATGATCATGGTTGGTTTTGCGCTTTGCATGGACCCCAAGATCCCGAAAGCATGGTCGTGAACAGCGTGTTTAGTCGTGCAGTTCGAAGAACAGAGAACCCTGAAGATCAGAGCTTGTGTGATCATCTTTGGTTGGCAGACAGTGGAGCAAGCATTCACTTGATTGCGCAGCGGCTGCTTGATAGTGGCCACGTCGCCGTGATCGCTGAGGATGAGTACCAGGTGCGCTGCTCTTTGGCGTCTGGTGAAGTGCTGAGCCTGAACCGTAGAGTAACAGTAAGAGCCCAATTTTTGACAGTAGAAGGTAGGCTTGTGTGTGCTGAGCTGCGTGGTCTTGTGACAGAGTGTGAGCACAGTTTGCTTTCCTTAGGTTCCCTTGCAACCAAAGGTTGGACGATAAATATCAATTCTGAGGGTTTGAGTGTGTGCCGCAGTCGTTGTCAGCTGTACACTTGTTGGTTTAGCAACGTTGGTTGGCTGGTGACACGGTCTCTTGAGACCACTCGAAGACCGCATGGGGTCGCGGGTGCCGCTCAGCTCCAGCTCCGAGGAGGAGAACCACGAGGACCACCAGAAGGCCTCGGAGAACCAGGACGAGAAGAACGTGCCCCAGAAGGCCTCGGAGAAGCAGGAGGCGGACAGCAGCGAGCCCCAGAAGGTTTCGGATGTCTGCGACGTGAGCTCAGAGGAGCCAGCAGCGAAGGCCTGGAGCGTGGTGAGCGAGGGGGAGATCCACGATGTGGAGATGGCCAGGCTGGAGGATCTGAGAACACAGGTCGCAGCTGCGGCCGAGATCGCGCTGGAAGGCGTGGAGCGCATGGCAAGGAGTTTCGAAGCCTGGAAGGCGGACCCCAAGCTGAAGCCAGCTACGAAAGCCATGCCAAAGATCTTGAGACCCACAGTCAAGGCGATGCCGAAGAGGAGACCACAAGTGAAGGCAATGCCGGCGAAGACCTGGAAGGGCAGCGTGAAGCGGGGAAGCAAGCCGAGAAAGGAGCAGGCCACGAGCAGCTCGTCGACGGTGCACCTGGTGGCGAGGACGGAGCGCTCAACGAGATGCCCTGCGCCGCCACCGCCGGAGCCGATAAGGGACGAGCTGTGGAATCCGCCTCCACCTCCGCCTGTTCCCAGCCGAAGGCCCGAGAACAGGTCTTGGCCCTCAGGGCTACCAAAGCCCCCGCCGGTGCCGTGAACAGAGACACGTTTTCACCTCAGAAACCAGGCATTAAGGCCGCTTGGGAGGCCTTGTGCTCTACTGGAACCGAAAAGAGAAACGAGCGTTGCATGGTTGATCTTTGTGACTTGGTTGAAGTGCTTGCAAGCTTGGGAGATGAGGGTGAAGAGACTGAGAGAGGGGAAGGAGAGAGTGAGCATGATGTTTGGTGGATCTTGAAAGACCGTGAAGTTGTTGACTTTGACAAGATCAGCCACGTGTTGCAAGGACATCAGCCCTTCAGTTCCTCTTGTGACGTCTGTGTCAGGTCTCGAAGTTTGCCCAAAGGAGCCCGCGAGAAGCCATGGGACCAGGTCATGAAGCATGAAGTGCAGATCGATCAGTTTTTCAAGTTTCAGAAGCGTTTCATTGTGTTGGTTCATGCCCAGTCGTTTGCAGTTGGTTGTGTTGATGGCGAAGCAGCTAGGGATCAGATCCTTGAGAACATGGGAGCATGGTTGAGGTACTTTGGCTTGAGTGGCGTTGAAGTTGGGACCGTGTTTCGTTGCGATGCAGAACCTTACATGCGTGCCTTGTTGGTTGAGTTGCTTGAGCGATTCCAGAATTTCCATGGTCCGATTGAGCAGTTCAGCCCAGGGCGTCATGCGCCCGCGGCAGAGAGAGCAGTGAGGACCCTGCGTGAGCTTGGTGATTCGATCTTGGTTGAGTTGCAGGACCACGGGGTGTCGCTTCGGAATACGAGTCGTGCGTTTGCGTTGCTCTACAACCATTGTTGTCATGTCCACAACCGATATTCGCAGTTGGCTGGGTCTGAACTTTCGCCTTTGCAGCGTTTGAGAGGGAACAAGCACAAGCCCCATCAGGTGTACGCGTTTGGTTCGACCGTTTGTGCGCATGCGTCGGCAGTTGAAGACTTGATTGTTGGTCGCTTTGCATTTGGTTGCTACCTTGGACCCATGATGAGCAAGACATCACACCTTGTAAATGTGAGGTTGCCGGATGGAGCCTTAAAGCTGGTGCAAGCCAGTTCCATCAAAGTTGTTGTGCCTCTGAGGTATGACGTTGAGTTGCTTGGAACGTTTGGTCGAAAGGTTGTTGGCGGCGTGCACCCTGCGCCGCAGCCACTTGGAGACCCTGAGGACCCCAGCTTGAGGACCGTTCCGTTGTCGCTTGTGCCCGGTGGGAATCCGCCAGCTGAGTTCTTTGCAGAACATGGAGCCACACGAAGGTGTACAGCATGCCAGAAGGGTTCTACACACGCCGTGAATCACAGTAGGACCTGCAGACGTAGGTATCAAGCTTGGTTGAAAGGTGAGATGGAGCCCAATGAGCCTCCAAGACCGCTTGAGTCCCCTCAGGGAATAGGTGACGTGCAGCGTGACGGTGGAATGCCAGAAGTTGAGCTTGACGTTCCCGATGACCTTGAGAGAATCGAGGCCGACGTCCCGAGAGACGGGGACTATGAGCCTAGAGGGGGTGTTGGTTGCGATAGTGAAGAACCTTTTCAGCCCGAGCTTGAACGTGAAGCCTTGCCAGCTGGGTTGCCAGAATCTCCAGGACCGTCTGAGGACCCTAGATCCGATCCAGGAGTCGAAGACGTAGAGATGATGGATAGGTTCGTTGAGACGCCTGAGCCTCAGAAGCTGTCATTCGCATCTGAGGACGCAATCACATCAGTCGTTGCCAGTGTGTTTTTCAGAACGAGTGTCTACAACGCAGTAGAAGACGAAAGCTGGATCGATCTTGAGATTCGAGGCAGAAAGGTGTGCTTGCAGCGGCCCAAGTTTGTTAAAGACGACACGACCGGAAAGCCGTTGGATCCACAGCTCACCGCCGAGGGGATGACGAAAGAAGTGAAAGCCCTTGATGCCTTGAATGTAGGTGATCTAGTGACAAAGCAGGAGGCAGACGAGTACGCTAAGGAGCACAACATCCGCATCCTCACCACGCGTTGGGTGTCTGTTGACAAGAAGGAAGGCGAAACAAAGCAGAAGATTGTCAGGTCGAGGGTCGTAGTTCGCGACTATGCCTCAGGCAATCCAACTGCGCAGGAGCTGGGGATCAGCTCGCCGACCTCTTCCAACGAGGCCTTCAGGACCTTCCTAGTGTTCATTGCATCCAGCGGGAGCGATATTATTCTTGCGGACGTTAGTACAGCCTTTTTGTTCGCTAAGGTGGTGAGTCCTGAAGTTGTGATGTTACCCACAAACATTCGGTTCCCAGACAACTCCAGAGCCTACATGAAGCTCAACAAGAGCCTGTATGGCCTAAGATCGGCGTCGTTGGCCTGGTATAAAATGCTTGCCGAGTTGGTCGAAGAGTTGGGGCTGTTTGCGTGTGAGACCGAAAAGACCGTCTTTGCTGGATGGTTTTTGTTTGATGGAACCCATTACTACATGGTCCTCCTTGCGTATGTTGATGATCTCATGGTTGGTTGTCGTTTCCTGCCAGCAGCGAAGTCTAGCCAAGCAGGTCAAGATCAAAGTCACTGGAATCCTGTCCAGAGACAAGAAGGTTGAATTCCTTGGCAGGACCATCCGGAGAGACAGTGAGACGGATGGAATCCTTGTTGGCCTCCCTGTGGGGTATTTCCACTCGACATATGAAGCTTATGGCATCCGGAAGCCGAGTCTGGTTCCTCCAGACTTGAGAAAAATCCTGGATGATGGAATGGAGTCCCAACAGCAGCCTTTGAGTGCAGAAGCTAGTGCGAAGTATAGGAGCGCAGTCCGCAAGGTCGCCTGGGGCGCCCAGACACGAATTGACTTGACGTACTTCATCAGTGTGTTGAGCAGGGGCCAGTCGCAGCCCCTAGCTGTCCATGAGATGTGCCTGCGAGCGTTCTTGAGGTACTTGATGTCGGTTGAGCACCATGAGCAGCTTCTTAGTTGTGATGGAGACGCTGGGACCATCGTTGCGTACGTTGATAGCAACTGGGCGTCTGAGAGAAATAACTCTCGGCGGTCGTTGTCTGGAGGCGTGTTGTTTCTCGACGGGGCCCCGGTGAAAGCTTACACCAGGCAGCAGACTTCAATTGCGCTTTCCAGCGCAGAAGCGGAGTTAACCGCCATCTGCGAGGGAATGAAAGAGGCCTTGGGATTGTGCGTCATGGTGAGACACGTCTTTGGGAAAGATGTTGAAACGCCGGTTGTTCGCTCGGACCCACAGGCAGCCATTAACATCAGTTCTATGTTCGGGCTCCTCAGGAGAGTCAGGCACATAGACATCAGGTTGTGCTGGGTGCAAGAAGCGCTGCGTGAGGGCCGCGCTAAGCTTGAGTGGGTGTCTGGCTTGGAGAATGCCTCAGACATTTTCACAAAGAGTACGATCCAAAGGGTCAGTTACGAGAGACACCTGAACATGTTGGGAATCGTTGAGCGACTTCCGCCAGCCACAATGGGTTTGTTGGCGTTGGAAGACTGGGATTGCGCCCAGTTGTGCCGCATGCTCGGGAAGAGCCCCGACCTTCCAGTTCTCTTGGAGCTGGAACAAAGCTTGAGTGCGGTGGGTGCGGAAGATCCTTGGTTGGTTGTCGAGTTTTGTACGAGTGAAAACTCGAATCTTGGCATTGCAGCGCTTGAGCTTGGAAGCGTGAAGTTGGTTAGAATCACAGAGCGTGAGAACGGAGTGTTGGATGAGACGATTGCCATTGTGAGAACGCACGTTGAGCGCTTGTGTCGGTTGGGCGTAAACGTGTTGATTTGGTCGTCCACCCCGTGCACTGGTGGATGTCTTTGGCAGTTCACGCATTTGGAGCGGCCTGGGCATGGAGATTACTTGAAGAAAGTTTGGGGCGTCCAGAGAAAGTTGTGGAAGAACTTTGAGGTTATCTGCAAGCCGGTTGAAGACATGCCTGTGGGATGTTTGAATCCGTTCGTTGCGATCGAGTGGCCGAAGACCTGTCAGTACTGGCATTGGAGGACCACCAAGAAGTTTGGATTCGACCACCACAGGACTCTCATGACCTCCATAGTGCATGGTTGTGCAGTAGGGATGAGAGGACGAGACGACTTGCTTGTGAAGAAGCAGTGGAGAGTTGATACAGACCTTGAGGTTCTCTGCGAGACCCTCCAGACATTTGCATGCACAAAGGACCATCCCCACAGTGCCGATTTCGACCTTAAGAGCACCCAACACTATCCGCTTGACTTGTGCAGACGATTGGTTGCGTGCTTGCCATGAGCTCTCGCCCGCACCCTCAGCCGCTTTGCCGAAAGGGGGTGTTGCTTTTTTCTTAATTTCCTGCGAAGCCATGAGTGAGACTGACTACACAGTGGAGATCCTCCTCTTCGGAGTCTTCCTATGAGGGTTCGCTGGGGTCCGTTGTGGGCTTGTTGGGCCACCCAACTGCCCCAAAAGTGCCCGTTCTTTTGCGTCTGAATTGCAATTCAAAAGAACGGCCGGTTTCAAACAAAAGAACGGCGGAAAAACGGCCCAATGAAAGGACCCTGTGGCCCCCCATAAGTCTTCCTTACTGTGAGCATCCTTGTGAATGTTGCAGTCCACATGTGTTGCCGCTGTTGTAACTGTTACTGCGATGGGAAGAACCGTGATGGTCACCTCGTCAGCAGTAGCAGTCACACGAGTGCTTCAGACAAAAGCCCGAGCAAACCGCGCACAGTTGCCTTTGAGATTCCGAATGTGTACTTCATTGCAAAGAGTGAAGTGGCCCACGTGGATGAGTCTTGTGGACATCTGCGTTTTCGGGACAAGAAGACATACGTGGTCTGCCGGGATTGCCAACGCAAACTTCGTACGCTCGCCTCCAAGAGGGGGTAAAGAATTTCATCACCAATGGAGCCGAAACTTCGTTTGCTTGGTGGTTGGTTTTCTTGTGTTCGGTTTTTGACGAACAGAAGCGGCACACACTCAGTTTCGAAAAGAATCTTGCAGGAGTTTTGTTGTTGAGTTGCACTTGCATGTTTGGATGCATGTCGAAGACATGTGGAGAGCATGTTTTGTGAACATGAGTGTTTTGGAGCATGCTTGAGTTTTACCTTGAGCTTTGTGAATTTTGAGCTTGGTCGAGAAGTTCCTCAGTGATGAGAGCAAGGTGTGAAGCACCTTGGACCTTTGAGTGTGTCCTGAGATGCACTTGGTATGCAGAAGACTCTGAGGGGAACGTTTGCGTGACCTTGCTTTTGTTTGGCTGTGAAGTAGGACTCACGTACAGTTTCTTGCCAGCAGCATGAGCTCAGAAGAACTGGACTTGTTTGGCTCAAGGCGAGAGTGAGAAAAGAAAGTGTCCGAGTGCCAGCTTTGCTTGCTTAGTTGAAGCTTGGGTAGCTTTGACTGGAACCAACGTTTTGAAGAACCTTTGGAAGCTCTTGAACGGTGTCAAGACTTTTCGAAAATGGGAGCAAACCAAAAAGTTTTCAACGAAAGAAAAAAAACACATTTTTCATGGTTTTCAAAAACAAAAATTCAAATTTCTGAAAATATGCAGCTTTCAGATATTCCGTGTGGGTAAATTCCTGCTAAGACCACTGCAGAGAGCTGAACAACAACCCAGCGACGCCTGCAAACAATGAAAACTAACTCCAAAAACCTTGAAAAGTGCTGAAACTTGCATTTTGGAAAATTTGAAAAAATTGCCACAGAGAGTGCTTCGCACCACTGGCCCGATGATTATGCAATTCGCATGTTGACGTGTCAGCATCAGCATGTGCGAGAAGTGCCTGAGGTGTTGCAGTCAGGGAATGTGGACATCATACTGGACTCTGGAGCCGATGTCTCTGCTCTTCCCTTGTCCTTCGCCAATGCAGGAGTGTCTGATCCCCATGCCCGATCCGTCCAGTACACTGATGCACAGGGTCATCCCCTACGCGTGCAAGACACGAGGATTGCTGAAGTCACCATAGGACCACTGAAGTTCTACGAGAGGTTTGTGGTATCAGGGGTTACCAGTCCTTTGGTTTGCCAAGGTAAGCTTGCAAAAGCTGGATGGTTCGTGAAGCCCGAGTGTGAAGGCATTTGCTTGACGGATGCAAGTACGAGCATTCCGATTGGGTACAGGCATCAGTCGTTTTGTGCACAAGGTTCCATCCGCTTGCTGAGTCAAAGCGAGGCGAAAGGCTTGAGTTGCAGTGCCACCGGTGGAGCCATGAATCGTGTTCGAGGCTTAATGCGAGGCATGCCTAGTGGAGAAGGTGTTGCACTGTGTGATCCCCAGGAATCAAGCTCCACTCAGTCCCCGTGTTTCAGGACACTAGTAGGTGTTGAGATGCCTAATGGAGGAGGTGTTGCAGTGTGTGATCCGCAGGGATCAAGCTCCACTCAGTCCGTCTGCCCTATTTCCACTGCAACTGGCATCACCGTGTGTGCATCAGGTCCAAGCATCCGTGCAGTTGAGGTCGCATTGCAAGAAGGCCTCCATCAATGGATGCAAGGCGGGGATGGACTCGTGTTGGCTGAGTGCTACGTACTGAAGTCCCATACCAGTGATGTGCGGATTAGATCCGACAATGAACCTGCGATGCTGAGTTTCGTCCACCACTTGCAGAAAGCCCTCAGAGGTTTGAACATTGGCGTGTCCGATGAAACGAGCCCCATTGAAAGTCACCAAAGCAACGGAGCTGTTGAGCAGGCACTGAAGCAAGTGCGTCAGACTGCATGTGTGCTTGTGTCACAGCTTGAAGAGGGTGCAGGAGTTGGCGAGGTCTTCAAGGTTGCCCATCCGATCTTCCAGTGGAGTGTTGTGCATGCCTGTTGGGTCATGAATCGGTTCAGAGTGATCCAAAACCAAACGGCTTTTGAGCATGTGACTTCAGGCACGTAGAAAGGGAAAATTGGTGAGCAAGTGTACGGATATCTTCAGTCCGATGCCAAAGCTTCTGCACGATGGGTCAAAGGAGTGTGGCTTGGAAAGTCAAGCCGAAACGACGTCCACATCATCGGCACATCGCAAGGCGTGTATGTGACCCGGAGCGTTCGCAGGCTTAGCCCTAAGGACCATTGCAACGTTGAGCTTGCGTCAAGTGTTGAGACAGACGTCTGGGAGCATGGTTGAGTAGCTTGGGTTCTAGGCTAGTGCTTGCAAAGAGGGTTGCACCTCCAGTGCCCGAGCAAATCGCCTTGCCTGATGCCATTGCCCCCGTTCCGATCGTCCCGGCATCACCACAGGATGTAGCAGCATCTGATCCCACCAGCTCATCAGCAGCTTCAACGGTTGGAGCGAGTGATGTGACCATGGATTCATTCGCCACGGCCGTAGCGCATTCCCATGCGCCAAGCATGCATGATGGTGTGAATGAAGTGGTGCCTGGAAACCTGGAGACATCGCCGCCAGCCCATGGCGGGGTAGTGTCAAGGTTGATATGCCTGCCTGACTTGCCCTCTGTATGCCGCGTTGCTGACCGACCTTGGTCAGATGGTCAAAAGAACATGGTGTACGAGCATGAGGATGAGAACCCTGAGCTGTGCTTTGATGAAGATATCATCGAATCCTTGGAGGAAGCTGAGTTCGCCGATGAACCACAGGATGATGCGCCAGTCGAACTGAGTGAGCTAGAGCGAAAGCTTATGTTTCCACGGGAAAGTGATGACGAGCCAAGCATGTTGCCAGATGAGCTCGCTGCATTGGATGCAGTTGCTGAAACCGTGGAGATAATGAGGTTGCAGAAGCTTGGTGTTCTCTTGAACCCTGAGTGCCTGGGGCACTTACCGCATGATCAAGTGAAGAGGCTCTCGACCCGCATGGTGTATGACTGGAGAGCAAAGCAGTTTGAGGGTGCAAAAGTCTGGTTGAGGCGTGCTCGCTATGTAGCCCGAGAGTATGCCTGGCTTTCGGAAAGGTCTGATACCTTTGCACCTGCCTCAAGTTCCATGCTGCATAGGTTGTTGCCAATCTTGTATGCCACAAGTGATCGGCAGGGGAGGTGTCTTGTAGCCATAGACATATCAGATGCGTTTTTAACGGTGGATCAAGTAACACCTACCCTGGTGACGCATCGTGCTCCAGACGGCACCGAAACCGTCTACGCCCTGGGAAAGGTGCTACCTGGCCAACAGGACGGCAGCGAGAGGTGGTGCACTGATTCACGAAGTTCCTTGAAAGCCAATTGGGGATTGAGACCTGTGAAGCGTATCCCACCTTGTTGCGAAGTCCCAACCTGGAGAGCGTGTTGCAAGTGCACGTAGACGATGTGTTGTCGTTTACTGACACCGTGTATGCAGAGAGAGTTCTGAAGCCTGCCTTGTTGAGCAAGTACAAGATCAAGTTCGAGATGTTGTGCGATCCCGGGGATTGCATTGAATTCTTGAAGCGGAAGTTGCATCTGATCGGCCCGGATCAGTTGCTGATCACACCGCATCCAAAGTATCTTGAACGCCTGTGTGAATTGCTGCAAATTCGCACCCAAGCCATCAAGAAGACACCCATGTTGGCAGACCTTGAAAAGCTGGATCCCACGCCAGCCCTGGATCCAGTCGGCGTGAAAGTCTACAGGAGTGCCGTGGGAATACTCTTGTATCTCGCTCATGACCTGGTAGAATGCCAGTGCACGATAAACATGTTGGCTTCGAAGATGTCGTGCCCGACACAAATGAGCATGAAAGGCTTGCGTCACCTTGTGTTGTACATGCAGGGAACGTGCAATGAGGGCATCATGCTGAGCAAGAAAGAGCATGGTGTTGGCTTGATCGGGGAGCAGCATGGTGTTGCGCCTCTTCTTGAGTCGTTCTCAGATGCCAATTGGGCAAGCAACCAGGTGACACGCAAGTCGATATCATCAGGGGTCCTGGCAGTCAACGGAAATGTCTTGAGCACCAGCTCCAAGAGCCAGCGCGTCATTGCATTGAGCTCAGGGGAATCTGAGCTGCTAGCATCAGCCAGTGTCGTGTGCGATGCTATGCTCACACGTGTATGTTTAGGATTCTGCTATGGCATGCAGACCTTGCCATCCGTGTTCCACCACGTGGACAGCGCCGCTGCCTTAGGAGCCTTAAGGAGGCAGGGAGTGGGGAAGATCCGCCATCTTTCCACTAGGATACTTTGGCAGCAGTCTTTAACGAAGTCCCAGGTGCTCATAACCCTGAAGGTGCCGACGGCCGTGAATGTAGCAGATCTTGGCACTAAGGGTTTATCCCGAAACAGGACGTTGATGTTAAAATTCATGCTATCCGTGTATGACGCAGAGGCCGGAGCAGATGTCGGAGAAAGCGAGTATGCCGACCACATCCAGCGTGACGCAGCGCGATTGGCGGTGCGTAGGATCAAGCAGTCTGGTGGGTCAGGTGTCTCCAAGCAGATGATTCGCCAGATAGTCATCGCAACATTGTGCATCGAACATGCAGTGGCTGCATGTGAGTCAGACGCCTTGGGCCCATGCCATGGTACGACCCGGATGAGTTTGATGGTTCTTGTGTTGACAGCAGTGGCTGTTGCCTGCAGTCTGCAGGGCTGCTACAGCCGTGAGCAGTTCGCGTCATTGTGGATTACCAT